GTCACAGGGCACACTGCCATGGTCGAATCTAATGAGGTAAGCGTATTCAATATAATTATACATATGTACACACATACATACATGTGTATTAAAGTTAAAATCTCAACAGTTCAACCAAAACTTTCTTTTCAAAATTTCCTAATTTTAATTTTATATCCGACCCGACCCCGTGAGATGTTTTTAAATAATTTTCGGCATTTTTTGTCATTTCAAAAGAAAGTTCAGTTCTTAATTTTTCCAAAATTACTGAGCTTTCTAAAACAGCTGTGCGGCGAATAAAAATTTTGAAAGGCGGAATCTTTTAACTGCGTTTTCTCCATTTTTTTTTGACATTTACAGTTTCTCTAAATTGCGGGAGAGTTCAAAAAGCCCGACTGGGGAAGTTTACTTTTTCCGAGCTAAAGACCGGATTGTTTTGAGGAGTGATCCAATACGTTACATTTTCGTTTTTTACTACTCCTTTATATTTTATTACGCTGCGCAGCACCATTTCGCAGGATATACCATTTTTAGGAAAAATTTTAACATGTCACTTCACGCCCATTCAATGATTTTTCGTGAACTTTGAATATGTATTAACTTGGGTTTTGTGCTAATTTCGGCATTTTTAATAATATTTTTAACTTTCATTCGAGCTGACAGGCTATTATAAAAACTACTACGAAACAAAAAGGTGTTCACAAAACCCTGGCTAACCTGCCAAACAGTAATTTTACGCACCGATTTACGCATTTGCAAATTCGGCCGTTCCTGTAACAGCCTCGTAAAATTACGAATTTTAAACAGTTTATTCAAATAGCAAGTGGATAAGCACCATCAAAAAATATATGTATATGTGCTTCAAATATGCATTGCATTTCCGGTCAGACATTCGCTGATCGTAAACTTCACGTACGCTCTCATCTGGAATGCACCTTTTTAATTCAACATACTTCTCCTTAAAAAGTTTGTGGGGCAAATAACTCACCACACTATCAGCGTTTGCAACCAAATATTCGAAAGCAGCATACTTTTAGGCTACACTCAACTATACTCGGCCTCTGTTTACGTATGAGTCGTAAATCTCTTGGTTGTGTGTGTGTGTATTTGTGTATCTGCCGAACTTCCCTGCGGGAAAGTTATCTAACTATAAGTTAACTTGAATATACAATTCGATCTTCCTTTTATTTGTCTCCGATTCGAAAAAATATTTATGCAGGGCAGGAAGAAATTGTATTCAAAATAAAATTTGTATGAGGATATTTAAATAGAAACTAGTTTAAAGAAAACAATCTCCCCATTATGTCTGCATTACTTTTCAACTAGTTTCAAGTTAGCTTTTTGTAGCTAACTACAAGCTATATATTTTATAGAAATCCCGCAAAAATCCTAACTACCAGTTGGTTATTTTTTATCAGTTCATAATTTTTTCCTGCAGGGTTTATGCAACTCTCTTGGTTTTCAATTTATTTATTTTAACTATTTTGATTTTTTGACAATCTTTTCTCTCCGTACAACAGACTTCTAAAAGACTACGACAACGCTGATGCCGAGCTAGTCATCTATGCCACATCGTTGATTAACAAAACCTTGGCTGGTCTAAACGATCAGGACAGCTTCTACGATGAGAGTGATCTGCTGGAGCAGCAAGGCATGGAATCGGTGATACAGCGCTATATATCCAAGCCTGGTACCGATCTCGATCTACTTGATCAACTGCAGCTCTACGAAGCAGTATTGAAGTGAGTAACTTATCGCCACTCCTAAACCTGTTGTCTATACATATTTTGCTTTTCATTTATAGATTCGAAGATGGCGAAGCGGAGGGCATACGCTTGCCTGAGAACTCGCTGCGCAAAACGCAACGCCATCGCCAGAGCACAGACACAGCAGAACGACGCAAGTCGCGACGTCACAGCACTGGCACCAGCCCGCATGTCAACAAAGTGATACCGTCACCAAAGAGAATCACGCCAACACACGGCGTGCTGGACGAGGACAGCTCCAGTTCGACGAATTCAGCTGAGTACGCAAATGGCGTTTTCAATGGCGAGAAAGGTGTGTAGAAGACATTTTCTTTTCATCGAATAATAAATGCTAATACAAGTTTTCGTGTGTGTGTGTGTGTGTGTTTTTTTTGTAAATGACAGCGCGCGATGGCGTCGGCGTCACACCCGGCTTGCGTAGGAGGCGCGAACGTGCCGAGCGCCATAAGAGCTTTCTCAAGGAGCAACAGGAGGCTGCAGCGAATGGCATATTCGCCGCTTTGGAGCGTCGTGAGGAAATAGGTGAGTACACCGACTTTAAAAGGGAAAGAGCGAAAATGTTTTTGAAGTTTTTTTGGCTCAATCGATTTGGTTGAATAACTGTAAAGTTGTTCCCAAATTAAGTTTTTGCGCACACTAACCAATTTTTACAACATTTATTTTTTTTTCTAACTTTCCAATTGTTCGCCTGTCTCGATTAACAACAACATAAACAAATGTGTTTTGCGCCATAAATCGCCTTAAATTAAATATGTAAAATATAATATGCGCTGCAATATTGGATTTGTAAATGTGAAATTCCAAAAAAAAACAACTACAACAAAATGCAATCATCACACATGCGCTTGCATCAATCATTCTCATTTCTCTGTCATTGCCACTCCTCCCAATTCATTGTGCCAATGTGCAGGTCAAATCGTCACCGCCATTCCCGTCACCGCCAAAATGGGCGACAGTCCACCAGAGTCATTGAATTTAACCGGTGACACCACAATTGGCTTAAATCAAAACAAAAACAGCAACAACAACATCATTCATGGCAATCATACCTCAAACACGGCTAGCAGTCAGATCACAGCCAATGCCACTAACAACATGAATCCCATCAATGTCACCACCTGCAATACCCCCACAAACATCACTGGCAGTACAACAACCAACAACAACTGCAATTTGAGCAACATCAACAACAACAATACAAATAACAGCAACAGCTTGTTGAGTCCCACGCGACATTTGTTGGGCAGCAACACCATCTCCATCATCAACAACAACATCACGAACACCAACCCAGTGAATAATAACAACAACACCAACATTAAGTTGCAAAGTGCACCGGAGTTTTTGACCAAAAAGAATTTATTAATGGAACGCAATGCCACTGTGATTAACGGTATAATGAAGAATATTCAACGCGGCGGTGATCAGTTGGATAACAATCACAACAACAACAACAGCCACGCTTATAAGAAATTCGAAAATGACGCGAATCGACTGAACAGCTACTACAATCAGCTGAGTACACCAAAGAACCAAAATCAACAACAACTGCATCAGCAGCAACAACAACAGCCGATAGTCGCACCTCAGCTGCAACATCAAAATTCAATACAAAGTCCTACCATTCAGACGGCTCACAATGCCCTGGCGGCCGTGCTGAGTCCCAAAAAGACGCTGAATGGCTTTGACTTTACCCAATCGACCGCCGAAGACGCCACCCAACACATACGAATACAATCTGCGACATAATATGAGTCCATTGACCAGCCCTGCAGCCTACACTGCCAAGTCAAGAGCCACTGGCAATGGACACTGGCCTCTATGAAGTGCCCCCCAGTACACCCAACCCCTTGAGTCATGCGAGTCCCATAACTCCATCTACCCCTAGCAAACTCACACTATCCACACCGCTAACACCAATGTCGAGCGATTTCACACCGGACACCCCAC